GTGTGTGTGTGTGTGTGTGTGTGTGTGTGTCTGTGTTTGAGAGTGTGTGTGTGTGTGTGTGTGTGTGTGTGTCTGTGTGTGTGTGTGTGTGTGTGTGTGTGTGTGTGTGTGTGTGTGTGTGTGTGTGTGTGTGTGTGTGTGTGTGTGTGTGTGTGTGTGTGTGTGTGTGTGTGATCTTTACATTAGAACCGGTAGCAGAATAATTAAAACCCTACACACATTTTAAAAAAAAGCCCCATCCTTGCCACCAACAAAACCATATTAAGACTAAGATATCAGAGATACAAAAATTTTACTTCCCTTCCATTTTCACCCTGATTGGGGCTGCGTTAATTATCATGCTATATTTGCATTTAGTAATTGTCTTGAAGGTTGGAGTATTTGCTAAGATTAGATTAGATGTATTGCCCCGAGGGGGAAATTCATTTTCACAGAACTGTACATGTACACAATATACACACAATATATAAACAACAACAATAAAATAGACAATAACAGATAGCAACACACATGGCAGTTACATTCAGCGAGGCCTGTTATTTAAGGCAGCAGTGACTGCAGGAAACAAGCTTTATCCAAATCGAGCTCTTTTATATTTCAATGTTCTGTACTCACGCCCGTGTGGCAGTGGGGCAAGGTACTGACTGAGTTGGTCTGTGATGTCCAGTTCTGTTGTAGTTGCGATGTGTGAGATGGCCCTGTTGTTTAGCACTGTGAGGTGCTTAATACACCTTAAAATGTTCAGGCCAATCACTTACTTATGTTAGTCTTTATGAAGAAAAACATTCTTGCAATGGGCGCAAAGTGATGATCATCACATTGGAAATAATGTTCTTACACAATGTCAAACTTTGGTGTTAAAACATGGTCATGATTTTCCATGGAGAAGGCTATTTGACCGAATCTTACCTAGAACCAGATACACATAAAATAATGGATGGAAGCTTCCTATGTTGACTTTTCCTCTCTTGTTTGTCCTTTCTTAGTATCACCAGGTGTATGATGACCATTTCATCAGCGCGGTGGTTCTCTCTCTGATCCTTGCTGCACTGTTTGGCCTTATCTATTTGCTAATGATCCCACAGTACGTACACACGAACACACACTCCTCCACATTTGCAGTTTGTCCATTTTTTGTAATTGGATTGGTCGTGCTCTGGTGTGACAATTAAAAAGGAAGGTGTTTTTACTGCAGTCAGTGGAAAAGTGGGAAAGCCCTTCTCACTCTGGTCTCTCCTCTGCTCTCTCAGGGGGATGCTGGTGCTGCTGCTGCTGGTGCTGTGTGTGTGTTTCCACGTGGCCTGTGTCATGTACCTGCATCTCACCAGTGTTCAGGTAGGACTCCTACAGCTCCTCCCACATGCTGCTGCTCAGAGACTTGACTCTGTTTATGGAGTAGTGCAGTAGTAACGTATTTTTGTAGAGGAACCAGAAGTTATCATCAGAAGGGCTCCCTCGACAAAAGCCAATGGGATTTTCCATTGGATTTTCAAATATTGCAGGAAATAAGACCTGTGACAAAAACACATTTATTAAACGGACATGTTTTATTCAACAGCATAATCTTCTCATGTTAATGTCACTCTTTGATTTTTGAAGCATAAATGCAATTGGCAAAGTTAAAAAGTTGACTTTAAAAACAGACTCGTGTTTGATTTAATGACGGTTAATAATCTAGTGTGATTTTTGTTAGAAACAGACCATTTTATGACACCTTTCACATTCAAAAGTGAAGAAATGTATTGACATTGAATAATATGTCATAGAACAAAACGTGAAAATGTCTTCAGCTTTTATTAACCACAGTCCTTATTTCTAACCAAAACAAATTGTTGACTTTGAGATGAGGGAACTGGATACTATCTCATTTCCATGCTTTTTTTAGGTTGCCCTGAAGCCCTTTCTCACGTGATAGCACTCTCTTGAGAGTTGCAAAATAAAAGCATCAGGTGCTCTGAACAGTAAGAGCTGCGATATCGAAAAACAAGTTCTTATATTTACAATAGAAATGCCACATTTAGTGTTGTTGTACCAAGATGAGGATTGTAGCTTCAACCAGGAAGATAACACTATGACTACAACATTCTTTTATGAGATGAATGTGTCTACATCATTTCCGAAAGTTCAACAGCCAAAAGTGCTTACACATAAATCGGTAGAAGTAGTGAATGATTTGCCTTTTTGCTTTTTAAACGACTTAAACAAGTAGATGATGATCAATTTTGTGGCCCATTTAGTCTTATCTTTTAATTGTGTCTGCACTATATTTCTTTAATCAGACCATTTGGATGCATACTCACCTTTTAAAACACACATTGTCTGTTCAAAGTCACAAAGACTTTATCTGCACTTTATTCTAAACTCAACTTCTTGGTTAAACTAACTTGTGGAAAAGAAAGATTATAAAGATAAAGATTTAAGAAAACTGTGTGATTGTTAGTTACCTTTTCAGCACATAGTTTATATAAGGCATAATGCATACTTATGTATACTATTCCACTACATTTCAGAGGAAAATATTGTACTTTTTACTTTACTTTTTTGATATACATTGATCTTAAATTAGCTGCTTCAATGCAGAACTGTTATTTGAAACTGAGCATTTATACTCTTTGGTATTTCCAATGTTAACTTTATAAAAGATCTGAGTACTTCCTCTCATACTGCATACTTGGGGGCTGGAGTGTCCGTGCCATCTTTTCTTCTTTTTATTCTTCATACCCTTTATATGACACTGTGTTATCATGCTACATTGAACTGTCATCATATCCTTTAAGCGTTTCCTCTAATGGAGCTGCGTGTAATGAGCCACAACACAAAACTCATTCATTTCATTTCCACTCCTGGCTAATGAAGTGTCCAAATGAAATGCTATTGAGGTAGATAAACAGGTGCTTCCTTTACTTGCTCCTTCTTTTTCCCAACCTCCCTTTTCCCTGCTTCCTCTGGTTTTAGTGCCAACCGGGCTGCCTCACCATCCAGATCCGAACAGTGCTGTGTGTCTTCCTCGTTCTGCTCACATACTCTGTTACCCAGGCCTGTGTGGTAAGTGTGTGCAGTTGTGTACAGTGTATTACATTTAAAAACATTTTTTAAACACGATTGACATAGGTTGAAACAAATTTTAAAAAGTTGAGTGTGAAAGTGTGACCTTGAAAACACGGCAATGACAGATAGAACAAAAACTTGAGTTAAGTTGAACTTTTTAGTCTTTTTAGTGGATAGCGTTGTTCTGTTTTAACTAACTAAGTAAAAGTACAAAAGTATTAGCATCAAAATGTAGTTTAAGTACAAACCATAAAAGTATTCATTCTGCACAATGCCTCGTTTCAGAATAATTACATGCTGTGTAGATTAGTAGTACATTACTGCATTTTACCTTCAGCACATCATGTGTTTGTTGTATACAAAGAATTAGTAACTGTGGGTGTTAACATAAATGAAGTGGAGTAGAAGTATAAAGAAGCACTTAATTAAAGTACAAATATGTAAAAAAAGAAAGTTAAGTACACAACTTGAGTAGATGTACTTAATTACTTTCCACCACTGAGAAAAAATTATGTTAAGTTTATTTTCTAAGGCAGACCAAGAAATGCAGTCGAAGCTCCAGAACATGCAATTAAATAGACCTTTGGTGAACATATTTTTGGTTTGATAAAAATAGTATTTAACAAAGATCAGGATTTCCCCGATCAAAGATACGTTTTTTTGATCGTTTTCAACTATTTTGAGTAATTTCAAAAAGTGTTTATTTAGCATTTACTTATTGATCAAAGTGTGTTGATCAACCTAGATTAACATCTTAAAGGGCCCATGTCATACTTTTCAGGTTATTACCCGTCCCCTTGTGTGTTATGTAGCTTTTTATGCATGTAAACGGTCTGCAGAGTCACAAACCCTCAAAGTACACCCTAAAGCGAGTAAAACTCTAACACAGAAAAGACCTGTCTATGCTGCCCCAGAACGCCTCATTGGAGATTTTTATTTTTCCATTTTTTTCTTCCTGGTCACAGTGACGTAATGTCCAAATGGACCAATCCGTGGAGCTCCTCACACACACTCACTCAGCCTTATCTTTTCTCAGGCTGTGAGTGTGTGGCGAACTGTGTGTGTCGAACAGCCTGGCTGTGAGTGTGTGTGTGTGTGTGTGTGTGTGTGTGTGTGTGTGTGTGTGTGTGTGTGTGTGTGTGTGTGTGTGTGTGTGTGTGTGTGTGTGTGTGTGTGTGTGCTCAGGCTGAGTTCCGCGGTGTCTCACTGTCTCGCAGACCCCACGCAGCAACCAGGAAACGACACCAGTAATACAGCTCACACTGTCCGCTCCTCGAGCGAGCTGTATTACTGGTGTCGTTTCCTGGTTGCTGCGTGGGGTCTGCGAGACAGTGAGACACCGCGGAACTCAGCCTGAGC